ATGAACGCTAAGGGATGAATAACGGAGTATGACTCTAAACAAATACGAACTCGTACTTGATATTAGCATAGGAAAAAGCAAAATGTAAGTAGCCGCCGAGGATATAAAGACAGCAAAACGCCTAGGAGTTGGAATAGAGGGGGGGATATAAATATTGGTGAAGCCAAGTGAGAAGAGACAAAATGATTTTGGTATCTACTTATTGTGTTGCAAACAATGCAAAAAACACGATTGTGGGAATTGTGTTGTTTGCACGTCCTACTAATTGACCGTGCTCTGGAGTTAGTAATCATCTTGAACCTTTCATTTTACTCGATCCAATGCTTTCCCCACGACATTAATCCCTCTATCAGTCCACACAAATTATATTTTTATAAAACCCATTAGCTTAGGTGTTAATTTGTTAATAAAAGATTAAATGTATATAAGTGAGACTATCTTCTCATAAGTCTTGATTATGATTATTCAAATTGCTCTACTAGTATGATTATGGTTTATAATATGTAAAAGTGTTATCCATATAAAAATTTTAGTCTTGACACTTGATTTAATTAAGAGATGGAGTATTTTCCATAAGAAAAATTAAAACTAATCAATTGACTCGAGTTAAATATTCCAAATAAGAAATTATTGTAATATAGGGATTACAGGGTTAAAGAGAAGTTGTTTAAAATGAGAAAGATGAGAAGGATTTTATGTGCATAATTTTTGTACTGGATGTGCATATTTTTCGAACTAAATGTGCAAAAAAAAAATTGACAGAAATTCAATGTGCATAAATTTTGAACATAATGTGCACATTTTCTGATTTTCCAGGTAATTCAAAATTTTTATTAGTTCGAAAATCAATTTTGCACATTTAGTGAAAAAAATATGCACATTCAGTGAAAAACTTTTGCACATTTTTTCCTTCTCATTCTTCTCATTTTAAGAAATTTCTCATTGAATCCCAACCATATATATATATATATATATGTGTGTGTGTGTGTATATATATATGTATATAAGTATTCAATTAAAAATGTTACTTATAGATAGCAAAAGTTGACCCGATACGATAACACGAAATAAAACCCCTTCTTACACAATCAAGATGTCACATTCACCATCCTTTGGCCCTCTCCCCTTCCACAAGTGACCACAACTACCTCAGCTCCTTTCTCCAACTTAATCACTTTACAAGTTCTTAGTAACTCCCTCCACCCCAACCACCACCTCGTCCCTTCCCCATTCAAACATCATTTTTGTGGTGCATTGGACAAATGGCCAACTACCATCATCATTCCACCAGGACCGCCACTACCCCATGCAATAATCTAGCTTGTCTACAACACCAAAGCAGTGTTACCCCAAACAACAACAATTTAATTTCTTTGAAATTTATCTCTCACATTCATCTCAATACACTAATAATCAAACAAATCAACAATCTCTTAATTAATTATGACAATGCATTCCTAGTAACCTTAGCTTATAGTAACCAATGTAAACGGAAAATATTGCTTTTGAAAACCATAAAGTTTTTAAAATTTATAAGCAATAAAGATTCATTGATTTGCCCTCTTCACTCTAATCATATTGTCATTTTAACAAGCTTCATGCTATTATATGACTATTAAATTCAGACAGAAAAAATGTTAATTTTATATTATACGTACTAAAAACTACTTACTGCTTGTAAATCAAAAGTTAACACAATCTCAAATGTCCACAGATCAAGACAATTTAGTATCATAAACAAACAAGTCCTTAAGTCCAAATCAATTCAACCACAAACATGCTTTTTGTATCATCCCCTAGCTAGTAGCTATGAACTAGTGTGGCCTCCAATTGCAATTGTTTCAAAAAAGTGTTGGCTTTTTCTAAACTCCTAAACATTAACAATATAATCCAAAAAGAGATTATGAAGCATGCAAATATATTATGATCAATATATATTTATTGGGAATATATACTCCATGAGATATACTTCAAGACATGAGCCACATGACATAAGAAACTCCAATAACAAGTTTTTAAATTAATTTCCATAATTATTTTATTTTCTTAATTCCTTGTTTGGTTGGTCATGAGTACCCCTCAAAATCTTAGTTTGTGTTCCCACATTCTTAAAAGAAGATATGATCCCCACAATTTTTGACTAAGAAACACCAAACAACCCTTTATATTTACTACTCCTAATTTTCTTTGTTTCACTGACAGTCAACCCGATCCATGTCAGTAATCGGATCGTGAGATCACAACCGTCCAATTCAGATCAGACACTGAAATTTTTGACTTTCACGTAATTTAGTTTTGCATTCAAACATTAAATTAATTAATTACCATTTTTCTTTAATTATTTTGATTAAGCCAATAATCTTCTTAGGTATATTCACGAGTCATCGTTTTGGCAGACATACTCTACTAATTTATTAACTAACCTTGGATTACATGCATGTCCACACAAGCTTATTATACTTTTATTAAACTAATAAAATACGTTTAATTTGCTTGTAACTAAACAAAGGTTTGGATTATTGAAGTAACTTTCTTAAAAGTTTAAATTTTACAGCTAAATAACTGATATTTAGAATAATGTTTATTGACTATGGAGACTTGGTGAATATGATAGTACGCAATGTAGGTATGTAATTCTAATTTATGAGACCTTTTAAAAGTGATTTTTTTTTTTTTTTTTTTTTTTTTTGAGAAATTAAAGTGATTTATAGTTTAAGAGAGATTTTCAATAATTTTCGCAATTAGTTTAACTAAAACTTATGTTATGTTGTTTTCTTTAAAAAGAAAAAACCCCCTTATGTTATGTTGTATTTAGTGATAAAGACATTTTATATTCTGTATATTGATTACTCCCTCCTTGTTACCTTAAAAAACAGTGAGGGGATATAATTTATAAGTTATAAATAGTACAAAGTGTTTTGTAATTAGAGTAATTATACCAAAGTCCAAAGCAAGATTTCATCCCAGTACCAATTGGCATTAGGATTTTAGGAGTAGCCCGTCTGGGTTATAATTAAAAGTCATTTGCTTTATTTTTCAATATGGGACAAACAATACTCACACTTCCACTAAACAATGGAAATATAGAATTATATTTATTATTATCATAAGCTTGATACTCGTAATTATTTATTTTTGTATGACTTCGTTCTTGTACTACAAGATGAGATGAAGGTATGTATGAACGTTAGGAAAATGCATGAGACATATGGCTTTCCACGTAGAATTTGCTAGTGCTTAGATTATTTACCCATTTACGTGATGATTACTTCTTCGGACTATACTGTCTATACACACCTAATTAAGTTAAATTAATCATTTTGATTTTAATTAAAATCTTCACAAATCACAAATTACCACGTTAAGCCAGTACAAGATCTTTTAAATTGGGTAGACCCAAGACAATGGGGTGTAGGAAAACAAGATGATATATACTAATATCATGTATGATGTACCCTAAGATAGCTATATACTTTATAATAATATGATTATGTGTATACATTTATAAGTACAAAGTAAAATAAAAAATGCAAGATTAGAGGAAGTTACCTCCTTGTCTGCTCGCAGACCAAAACGTTGAACACCGTCAACTAGCTTTTTTGCATGTCGCCGAACGCACTTGCAACTTTCTCCGTTGTTAAAATAAAATTTTAAGTTAAAGAAACACAAAAAACCAAGATGCTTAAAAATGATTAAACAAGTCAGATTAGATCAAATCCCCAAAGCACTACTCACAGACTCACAGTCTTCTTAGCTCTTCCCTAAATTCAAAGCAGACTCTTTAGTCATTATCCTGTCCTACTATACCCCGCTCTATTAATAATTATCAATTACTATCAACTAAGACCCGTTGTGGACTTGTAGTCATATGTTGTAATATAATGTGTACATACTTGGTATAATCTTAAAGTTGATCATAGATTAGATTGAACAAGTCAAGCCGAGAATTTTACAAAAAATTGACCATTTAGAAACAGGTTGTTTGGATCATACATGTTTTTGTTTTATAAATGCTTAAAGATGAATGTACCAAAATTTCAAATTAGAGTATATATCAACCAAACTTCTTCATATGAAATACTCGCTGATGTATATATATACTGTTCGTTTAATTTACAAATGGGATATGCGTCTTATAAAATGCTCATTTATTCATGTTGACAAATAAAACATAAGAATGTATGTTCATATATGTTCACAAACAAATTATTTTATGAATATATAAGAGCTGCACTTGTTTATTTATGGAGAGATTGTTATATACACCCGTGTGTACGATACACTCATGAATATTTTGTTCTCATTTTGATGATTGTTTTACATTTAATCATCAAATGAAGAGCAAAAACTAACTTTGGATTAGTTGGGTGCACGATACACCTGGGTATGTATAAAGTATTGTATTATTTAAGTTCATAAAATATTGTTGAATTAAATACTTAATCATTTACATACTACTACTTAGATAATAGAGACCATTCAGAGCTCACTTAGTCATTCAATAATATTTGCAAAATACATTACTAGCATGCACCAATTCAATATAGCTTACACAACTCATTTCATTTAGTGTTCATCTATAGGGCTTTTAGAAAGGTCTCCTAATATTCCAGGTATCAAAGCTCGAGTGGAGTTCAAGATAAACCAGTGTCATAATCATAATTATAGATATAATTAACATGTGAGTTATTCTCTTAACATACTAAAACGTGACAGCTTATGCAACGAACTTATTACCTCCTTCTTCCCTGAATTATTGATACGTTTGACTTTATTATACTTTTCTTATACTAGCTTTTACCACAGTTTTTTTTAATAACATACGAGTATTAAAAACAAAATGTATTATGAATTACGAAGTAGTATTAATTAATATAAAGTTTCATAATATATTATTTTTAATTACATTTTTTTTACTAAAATTCAATTAAATATATTAAAGGTCAAACAAATTTATTGGCATGTACGCCAATTTTAAATTTTTGATTGTGTCAATAATAATTTCGTGGGACAGAGAGAGTACTATTCATATAAAGTTAGACGACCAGAATAATGTAAGAGGTAACAAACTAATAATCTGTTGCATTTCTGATCCCCTTATACAAATCCGTAGTAAATTAATTAATAAAAAGTTAAGAAAAAAACTAGTTGCATTGACATAAAGGCATCGAGGATTGCACTATAAAAGCAACACCCACGCTAAGCCACACTACCTACACCTTATTAGTATTCTTAATTACCCCTTTGGAGTTCTGAACTGCCCTAACTTAGCTAAAACAACAAAAAGAGAAAGAGAGAGAGAAATCAGCAGAAAGCTGAGAACACAAGATCAGAAAAATCTTTCTTGTTCTTCTTCTATTTTTTAGGCCCACAAAAACATACATACTCTTACATACCAATATCTATCATATGGAAGAAGGGATGTCAGGCTTTTGCATCCAAACTACAAAGACTACTATGGCTGCTTCTTACGGAAGCGGCGGCGGGGGGCCGCCTAGTAGCGGCACCAAGTGCGGGCGCTGGAACCCGACCGCGGAACAGGTTAGGGTTCTTACGGACTTATTCAGGTCAGGGCTTCGAACACCGAGCACTGACCAGATCCAGAAGATATCTACTCAGTTGAGCTTTTATGGTAAGATTGAGAGTAAGAATGTTTTCTACTGGTTTCAAAACCATAAGGCTAGGGAGAGACAAAAACGACGTCGTGTTTCTAAGGATCATGATGCTCCTTGCTTTCAACTTGATGACCATCTTAAACCTATTGCTCCTGCTAAATGTAAGTTTTCTTGCTTGTTAAAGTATTCATACTCGATCTCGTATGTATGTATAAGTTGCATACATAATGAGGTTTAATTTAAAGTAGTTTACATATGATAGTAATCGTATGTTTATTTGGAAAACTAACAACTGAAAAATTGGATGCTACTTTTTCTAACAAGTAACAACTGAAATTACTTATTTTTAAGTTTTAAAATAAAACTCACAACTATGATGAACAAGTCGTTTGTAGTTAATATTTGTTTTTGGTACAATGAGAAAAACCAGTTTATAGAATACAAAACCAACTTGGAGTTTCAACCACTAATTTAAAATTTTGGTTGACTTAGTCTTCCGACACTAGGTTTTGTCTAACTGGCTCATCAATAGACGGATTTACAATAAACTTTGGATAATACACGTCTTCCTTAGTTAGCTATGAATGTTAAATCATTGAAATGATGTTTAAGTGATGCATAGCAGCATAGTCCAATATGAGTATGGTTATTAGGTCTAATACATTGTTTTTGCAGATTTTGGTGAGATAAATCAAATTGCATGCGAACCGGAACGAGCAATTGAAACACTTCAACTCTTCCCATTGAACTCATACCATGAACAAGAGTCCGATAAGCTAAGGATGTTCTCAAATGACTGCTGCAAGGAGAATTATGCAACATTTGCTGCATACACATTTGGAAGAGATCATTTCGATCATCCCCCTTTGGATTTGCGCTTAAGTTTCTTCTAATTAAACCAATAGTTAATTACTGTTATTACTAGAAGCACACTAATTACTAGCTAGATTAACATAAACTATAAAAACATTAAGATAGAAACAAATATATTTCCTTTTAAAAAGGTAGGAACTATGGTATTATGTTATGCTTTTTTTTCAAATTTCAACTTGTTTATTGTAATTTGACGTTTGATATTGTAATTAGTGCATGCATGCATGGCACTGAGATGAAATTATATGTAGAAAATCGATGAAGTTATGGAAATTAACGAAAAAGCGTGGACATTCTATCCTTTCTTTGATCCTATGACTTGTTTATAAACGGAGTAATTTTAATTGATTTGTTCATTGTTCTCTGTGTTTACTCTGTTGTTTGGATCATTTTTGTTTTTGATTATATTCAAGAGGTTGGGAATTCAAATTTGTTCCTTCAAGAAGAGATGTTTGTTTGAATTGCATTATAATATATCGGTCTCATGGACATTCGAGTTTCGAGAGATAGGTTTAATAATGCTACATACTCATTCAACTTGAAAGTATAACTTGTTCGTTTCACCTATTTTTATAAATGACCCATACAAACTTCAAACTTATGCCCAATTGCCCATATAAATCTTCATCATACATTAAGGATGTTAGAGCAAATGGTTGATAATTGAGCTAATTAGCAAAGAAAAATTAAGAAATTTGATAGTAAAAGAGACAAGAAATTGGAAGGTGGAAAATTCCTTCAAGCAATTACTTGAAGACTATAAAACCCACCCAAAGCAAGGAGAATAGTTGTATTGATTTCAATTATTGTTTACAAGAGTAATCTCTCACTAATTTCCACTCTAAAGCACAAGCATTTCAAGAATAAGAACCCTAACTCTCAATGCGTTTCTCTCAATTTGGGGATAATAATAAACAAAATAACCCCAAATGGGTATTTATATATACCCCCGACAGATCTAGACTGAGTATCAAGTAGGCACGGACCTGTTAGCCTAGATAAATCAGACCAGAAGCTACTGGTCGTCTGGAACTCAAACTGCACGGACGTGCCATATTTGGCACGGACGTGCAGCCCCTATTTGTGTCAGCACAAATAGCTCGTAGTAAAACAGCCATAACATCCTCGTTTCTCATCGGAATTAAGCTTATAACCTATCGATGGAAAGCTTTTGAAACAAGCTTTCACCTCCTAGTCGAATCATCTCAAAATTCAAAGTAGTTTGAGAGATATTCCCAGTTGAAGTTGACCCATTCCATTCTTCCTTGTATAACACAAGTAGCTCATCCTTTAGCTTATATGCTAAACCTCGATTGATTCTCGAGTCATATTCCAACAAAGGATGATACATAAAAATTTCGAGCTAAGGTAATAAATAAAAACATTGACACAATATTTTTATGTATCAATCAATTTTTAAATTTTTATTTACCATGAGTACTCCGCTTCTTATGTCTGCGACTTTGGTGAGTTGCACAAAATTTTAAGTTAAATTTATTTATGAGTGTTAAATAGAGAGAGAAAAATAAAAATGCACGTGATATGAGTGAGATAGAGAGAAATGACAATTTAAAATGAAAAAAAAACATTTGTTGTAAATAATATGTAGTAATAAACATCCATTTTTGACGAATATGACACATAATATAAAACAGAGATAATACGGACTACAGAGTACTATATAAGTTAGGTCATGCATTTAAGATAAAACTCTCCTATCTCTTTGGAGTGTTTTTTTTTTCATCTACCAAAACAAGGAAAAAAAAAGCACTAAAGTTGATCCGACATCAAAGCTAACAAGACTTTCGGCCAGCACCAAACTTGGCAACCTCATGCTGCGGGCACATATGGCCCTTCAGCGAAGCCCATGCCCATCTTTGCAAGTAGTTGGTATACACTAGACCCTAGTGTAGGTAGCCCAACCTACACTCCCTCTAAACGCAGCGTTTAGAGTTACTACCCACACCCCCTCCACTAACCCACAATAATTACCCACTCCCCACAATAACCACAGTAACTGCATAACTAACTTCCCCTACCCCACATATATATACATAAAAAAAATAAAAAAAAAAAATCAATTTCAAATCATTCTCTCTCTCTAAACACCATCTTCTTCATTTCTCTAGAGTTTCTCTCTCATCAAACCCAACGAATCGGAACAAATTTCAATTTAAATCACTGAAAAATTGCTTCAAAATACTCCAAAATTGCTTCAAATGTCTGATATTCGAGAAGAAATTAAACAATCACAACAAAAAGAGTAAGTAATTTCGTTAGTTTTGTTCATTTTTTGAGATTGTAGTGCAATTTTATGTGTGAAACCTTAATTTTGTTCATTTTGTTGCGATTGTAGTGCGATTTTGCAAAAAACCACTACAGAGAAGAACATGAAAGAAGAAACTGCAAAATCGGAGCAAAATGTATCTAAAGAGTAAGTAATTTTGTTCATTTTCTTTCGATGACAATTATAGTGCGATTTTATGTGTGAAACCTAATTTTTGTTCAATTTTTTGCAATTGTAGTATGATTTTGGAGAAAAATACTTCACAGACGAGTAATTTGTTGAAAATTTCTGAAGAAATGTATGAACCCTAACTTTTGTAAAACCTAATTTGTTCATATTCTTGCGATGAAAATTATAGAGCGAATTTATTTGTAAAACCTAATTTTTGTTAAAATTTTTTGCGATTGTAGTAATTGTTCTAAGATTTTACTGAAAATAACTAAAACATTAACAATTTATTAAATAAAACAGAGACGATGATGATGATGTACCTCTTCAGTCAAGAGTAGACAAATTGAAAAAAAACCGCCAAAATGATCCAATTGTAGATCCGGAACTTTTAAAAGATATTGACAAGTCAATTGGTACGGATTTAACAATGTCTCCACTACCAAGGTAATTAGTCATTTACAGAATATATTATGTTCATGTCTAATATGCTAGTTGTATTTGATAAAATTGGTTTTATCTTTGTTTAATATGTTATTTGTATATGATCATATTTGATACTCATAATGTTCATTTATAGATATAGTTATGATCATATATTTATATTTGTTCATATGAGTATTTATTGAGATTTAAAAACAAAAGTACATTTCATTGAAACATCATTGTATATGATCATATTTGATACTCATAATGTTCATTTATAGATATAATTATGATCATATATGTATATTTGTTCATTTGAGTAGTCATTGAGATTTAAATAACAAATATACATTTCATTAAATCATCATGCACATATATAAATATGATAATAATCATTTCAGTGATATGCATTCAAACTAATGTCATGTAATTAATTTATAATGTAGTGATGTGCCATTTAGAGTGATACACTTGCTTCAATTTAGAGATGGGAAATCTGAACCATTAACTCTAAAGAAGGTTATAGAACAAAATGAATATGGTAATAGTTATGAAAGATACACTTTAAACAAGTAAGTTTATATGTATAAAATAATTGTTTTTACATTCAATTATTGTACATTGTATATATATACCAAACTTATTAGGTAATTCTTAAAATTTTAGTGAAAAAAAAAAGGTTCGAGTGAAATTTGTTATGTCAAAATCAAGACCACCAGAGACAAATCAAACAATAAGGTATAAAAGCTTTATACAAAATAACTAATTATCTTCTTCATTGTATAAATTAGTTCATACTTTAATATCATATTATATAAAATAATTCTGTTTTTTTTAAGTGAACAAAGTGAGAACATTCCTGCTACTAATGCAACAACTAAGAGTGTGTCTGCTACACATAACACAACTGACAAAGAGAGTAGGGATGAAAGGTATACTAATGATCAATTTTATATAAACAAATGTTCATTTTTATAACAGTATATTTTATGTACAATTTATGTGCATTTTTTATTTAAAGTATTTCTTAATATTGATTTCAGCAAGCAAGAAGAAGTTCAACCAAAAGTGCAAAGCAATCCAGTAAAGAATAGTCTTGGCCAAAAGTAAGAAAACTTAAATGTTCAATTTAGATAGACTATATGTTCATTTGAAAATCAGTACAAAAAAGTTTGCTCATGGCCAATAGTAATATAAGTTATATGTTCATTTTTTTATTTACTAATCAAAATTGTAAATTCAAACATATTTTTAATGAAATATCAGAAAACCCAAAGATGATTCAAGAATAACAACATTAAAGGACAAGATGCAAGAAATACATTTAGACATAGAGAGAAACCCAAAGTATGTTTAAATTTAAATAATTGAATTAATTTAATCAATTAATGAATATATTTCAAAGTTAATATCATACATTTACAGAAAGTACAAAGAATCGACAATCAGAATTATGAGAAATCTCAAAAGAATGGAAAAGGCAAGCAAGGAAATCAGGAAAGGTAAATGATCATATTTATTGAATATTTTTGTTTAATAGTCATAAATATCAATTTTAACAATACTATTACTTTTGAAGGTGAAGCAAAAAAGAAAGAAAAAGGGCCAATAGAAGAGAAAACTGTGGAAAAAGGTAAAAATTTTAAAATGTACATTTTTATTACAAAAAATGTTCATATTGGAAAAGCATAATATTAAATATTCAATAAGATTAAAAAAATTAAATTTTAACTAAATAAATTTTAATAGAAGTACAAGAAGGAAAAAAAGGGACTGAAAAAGAGAAAAGCCCTAAAGACAAAACTGTGGAAGATGTCTTTCCAAAGACAACAAATGTAGAAGGTAAAAATTTATAAATGTACATTTTTATTACATAAAATGTTCATATTGGATCTACATAATATTGAATGTTCAATAAGATTAAAAAAATATATAAATATTAACTAATTAAATTTTCATAGAAGGACAAGAGGGAAAAAAAGAGCCTGAAAAGGAGAAAATCCCTAAAGAGAAAACAGTGGAAGATGAGTCTACAAAGGCAACAGATCCGAAAGGTAAATAGTGGAAAATGTACATATTCATTACCTGAAATGTTCATTTATATTGTATATAGTAAACATTTGTCATCCAATTTAATAAATGTTTATTTAATCTTTTATATTTGATCATTTCATATGCAGCACAAATTGCACCTGATTTTGTTCAAATTGAGGATGAAACTTATCTTCTAGATCAAGATGATGATAAAGTTTCCACAAAACTTAGTGAGGAGACAGCTCCATCATCACAAAAAAGTGATCAGTCAACCAAAATGAAAACAAGATACAAAATGGTTGCAAGGAAAAACAAAAACAAAAGCCTTGTTGTTGTGCCAAGTGGTAGAATTACAAGGAGCCAA